TCAGTATACTCAGCTACTTTTCTCAAAAATATTCTGAAATAAGTTTTTGTAAGATACAATAATTTCATCTTTTTATTCCTAACAGAACTCATGCTGTACTTTTTTTTTTTTCTCAAAATATATTTGATATAGTCTGTGCAAAATGTTAAGTTCTGTATAGGTATGTACCTTATTCTGAAAAAGTTTATAAAATATAGTGCCTAAAAACAACATCAGACAATAGAGGACGAAACGTATCAGACAAAGCCTAGTTCTTCACATGAGAAACTAAGTATGTTCTTAAAGCTCTGGTAATACATTCCTTGAAAATACTCAGAATGCACTTTGGTCATTATTGGACATATTAGAACACAGGCAAACGGAACACAATGCTGTCTGCTGTTTCCTATGCAAAGAGCACTCTACAATGAGGCTAAACTGAAGCTGGTCAAAGGAATGGGAAGAGCAACATTGTATCACATGGCTCTGTTCTCTGCACATTCCTGATATTAAGAGTGATTTGGGAATTAGAACTGCACCGATCAAATAAATTATTTACAATTAATTATTTAAATTCCTTAAAATATGCTAAAATATGAATATATTCAAAATGACTTTGCACCAAGAAAATTCTAGATTGTTTCAACTAAGTTCTTTGTTTTAGAAACCAAATGCTTGGCTTAAACAAAGCAATCACAAAAACATTTTGTTTCATATATTTCTTAAAACACTACTGATTGTACAAATGTAACAACTTAGAATCAAGGCCAGATGCAGGGGACTATCATATTTGCCCTATTTACCTAACAGGAAACATGATCAGCTCCCTCTGGACACTTGACGGGTTACTGAAGGGAGAGAAGCTAGCTTTCCATGTTAAAAGCATCTAAAAATAGCCCTTATATAATGGAGCTGGAGGAGGGGTGCACCAGATTAAATTTAGAGGCTAGGAGTGGTAGAATGAAGCTGTCTTTTCAGAAAATTTGGAAACTTTATAACTAGCAATCACATATTTTGTTGGTTCTTAACTTTATTCGTAAGCTTTACTTAAGTGTGGTATGAACAGCATAAGCTATAGTGTACCATGGGAAATTCTTTTGAGTAAACACAATGTACTTGAGTAATAGCAGTAGGCACTTCACTTGTGAGATGAGAATAGACCTCACTCAAAAGGATACCATATTATGCCCTAGTACACTGTAACATATTCCACATAAAGATATACATCAAAAGTAACAATTTTAAAAAGTGCACATTTTGAGCATGCACAGTTGGAGCTGTGCAAACAGCTCAGTGTTTCAAATAAATACATTTATTACTAATTAATTTTTATCAAAGTATTTTACAGTATGGTAACCATTTACAATTATTGCTCCATTAAGAGTTTTATTATCAAAGAGCACTTGTTGACCTGTTACATAACACCATAAATTAATACTGACAGGTGCTTCAACTGCAGCTTCATTAATCGAGGTCCCAGCATTGTTCTCAAATAGCTCAAGAGAGACCCTGAGTGGATCCTGGTTTACCAAAGAAAATGCACTCTGTGTTTAGCTGAGTCCAATGCACTATTTCAGAGTTGAAGCTTTCCTCAAGTAAGGCAAGTCCACGGCATTGATGGATGGAGAAACAGTGCTGAGCAATGGCTTCTATTTTCACAATTTGTTTGTCAATTATTTATGAACAATTACCAGGACCTCAGGTGTCTGGATCACTTTTGTCACCCTTTCAACAACTAAGAACGTCTATGCTTCAAACAGACTAAAATCAATATATAAAAAAAAAGAATAAGAAAGAAATACACACACACACACACACACACACACACACACACACAACAACAACAACAACAACAACAAAAACAGTAAACAAGCAAAATAAATATAAGAATTGCACAATACAGTCTGATGTAAACACTTCATTCCCAGCAGCCTCCTGGAGCAGAGCCAGTGACCGCTTCCAGACAGCTTCATCAGCACTCATGCTCTGGAACACTGGCTACATCTTCATGTTTTCTCAACTGTCACGATTTAATCTTCCACAGCTATAGAGACAAAAATGATAAGTCATGACCATTATTAATACAGAAGCTTACATCCTGCTACACACTGTCCTTAAACTCCACTCCCTGGTGCAGAATGTAGTCTTTGAGCACCTTTGGCCTTCTGTAAGAACTCATCAGAAACATGGTGGTGAAAATCAGATTTCTCTTGTTTGCTTTCCTGAGAAATGTCAATATATATCTAATACTTGTTTAATATGTTCTTTCTAACCCTTACTAACATTTGTGCATGTATGGAGGATATATCCATCACTATATAAATAATACGTTTTTGGCCAACAAAAGAATATGGCTCTTTTTGTTGAATCATTAGAACCTGTTTCAATTAATGAGGAAAAACAAATACTTCCTCTTACCCTAGAAAAGTCCTATATATAATGAATTCTGTTCCAAATTAGAAGTTCTATCAATATGAGAATACATGGCTATATGTAAATCCCTGAAGTTAAATGTGTAGCCACTGTTATTAACTATACAAACTTGCCAAAACAAGCCCAGTATGCATGTGAAATCTCACAAGGGTAACAGGGTTAAAGAAAACAAAACAAAACATGCAGGCTTGTACCTTTAAATTGAATCCAAGCAGGTCACTGATGACCCCAGAGACGGCGGACAGGATGACAACCTGGGTGATGTTGTAGAGCAGCGGGTTCATGGTGAGTCCGTACAACCTGAAGGGACTGTCCAGTTCCTAGCAGAGCCGACAAGACGTTAGTCTTAGGTACTGTAACAATTTCCAGGAACTAAATCCCCAAAGTATTAAAAAAAAAATCACTACTCAAGAAGTTATAAATTATGGATACTTTTAGAAAATACAAACTTATCTAAATTTGAAATAAGTAAAATTTAATGGTGGTGTTAATTTTTTTTCAAGGAAAGTGACTTCCTTTAAAGTAAGTTTTGTAAATTTTTTGCTTCAATTCTTGTTACAAATGAGTAAAGTCTTCACCTACTAGCTATAGGAGATTAGAGAATGCATTTTGGGGTAAGAGCTGGAACAGAAGCTAAAAGAGTCAATTCACCTTCAAATATACAATTAACTAATTAACTGGAGATTCAAATATTAAAAGGTCTGTTATATGACAGGTATCATGCTGGACTTTGGGAAGGTAAAATTCAGCCCTTGAAGGGCCTGATAGTTTAGTAAGCATGCAAATCATAAAGTGAGTCACAAGCAGACTAACATTACTAGAGCAGCACTTGAAGAAGGCACTCCTGAAGCCAGAGTTGGAGAAGGTGCCTCGGGCTGCTGGGCACTGTTCGAGCCCCAACACAAGGGGGTGCACTGGCTTAGAGGGCTGGTTCTCATTAGGCAGACCTGACCATCAACTGACACTAAAGGAACTTAAGCTGGGGGCGGGGGGCAGGGGAGCCGACATGGCAGAATTGCAGGGGAGGTGGGAGGGTCTCTGGGCTGGCACAGTGGAAGATAAAGAACAGTAACAACAGAAGCAGGGATGTTTTAAGTTCTGTGTGCCGCACGCATTCTCAAGTAAGAGACAAAGGTCTCACCCAGGGTGGTACCGACAGGGAAACGGGATGGGCTGGAGGGCATCTAGAATTAACCAAGGCCTTGTGAGTTTCTGGGCTGGCCAAAGTGAAAGAAGGTACACTTCACACTCAGGCTCAAGTCTGGGCTGGACCAGAGTGATCCAGTGCTGTGCCCTGAACTTCAGTCTTATGACTATCTCCACTTTACAGTTTCAGTCCCTGCTGTCAGCCACAGGGCACCCTGAAGATTCCCGACACAAATGCAAAAAGAAAACCATCAACCCATGGTATTTGGTTTTTTGGGGGGTGAGGTGGGGGAGATATGTATCTGTATTCTCATGCTTATTGAAAAACTATCATCTACCTCAAGATCCACTTAAAGGAAATTTTAAAAAGGCAGCAATTAATAATTACCTATTTTATTATCCCTCTACCTACCTCCTCTGAATCTTTTTGATGTCCAGTTTCCTATGAGTCACACTCTACAGTAACCCTATCACTGAGTTACAACTCATTTCATACCATTCTCTGAAAACTTAAAACTCTAAGTAGTATGCTCAATTAGTTACAGAAATTAACATTCTTAAATAGATTTCAGTTTCAACAAAGAAAAGCAAGACAATAATACAATGGTCAAAATGTCCTACTGCATTATCCCTAGAGAGCCAGGCATGGTGGAACACCTGTAATCCCAGCACTCGGGGGACTGAGATGGGAAGTTGCCACAAGTTTGAAGTCACCTTGGGCAACACAGTTCATACCAAGCCAATCAGTGCTACATAGTAACACCCTAATTTAAAATTAATAAAAGATTTTTTTTAATTCTCAAGGATATTATGACACTAAACACATTATTAGTCTTTTATTTATCAAAAATGATTTTCAAATTAAATATTTAATGACAATACATACATAAAACAATGGCTATATATGATTGCTTTTTAAGCTAACTTGGGTCAAGCAGAAGACTGCTCTATGAAATACAAAATGAACAACTTCTGAGTTAACTTCTAATCTTTTGTGAAATGTTTCCTAGTATTCTAGATGAAACTGATTAAACACACACACAGCAAAAAAGAGTATCTAGAATACTCTTAACATTCGTAAATGCCTTAACATACTTTTCAAAGAAATTATTTGGATTACTTGAGCAATTAAAAACAAAACAAAATGCACAAATGTGCTCAGATGTAATCTGGAAGCAACTTAGGTAGTAATGACAACTAGACACAAGGCAGACTCTACAGAGACTAGGGTACAGCATCACAACAGCACACGCCTCTCAGTTTCAATTCTTTTCTTACCTTCAATAGTTTAGTAGCCAGTTTTAAAACATTATTCACAAGTGTCAGTTCCTCCTTTTTGTTAGGTTTCTTCTCCATTTTCAAGTAGAGGTTTATCTTTTATATAAAAGAGCCCCATAGGCAAAATCATTTAAAATTGTAACATTTATGCTTTTCTTTTGCAGTATTGGAGACTGAACCCAGGCCTCATGCATGCTACAGTCATTTTACCAGTGAGTTATACCCCCAGCCCACAAATACATTCTTAAACAGATCTGAAAGATAGTCACCACAATATTAATAGTGGTTCTCTGGATATTAATACTATAAATGGTTTTTAATATTTATACATTATTATACATTTCAAATCTTATAATAAACTTATTTTATAATAAGAAAACTCTTAAAAAGGTAAACATTGTATTCTAAGAAAACTCTTAAAAAGGTAAACATTGTATTCTCATTGCCAGATCAAATTAGAGAATAAATAGCAATAGAATAAATTCAACAAATTGGCTCATGATTTTTTTAATTATGAAAGTTATTCAAATATTTGCATATCTTTATTATCCACTCTCTAGTAGATACTTCCGGGGTACTTTCTTTGAAAAGACTCTAGCTCCAAGCCTCGTATTACACTACGCTTGTTCACTTGATCCATCTTCCCACTTTACTCAGGCAGCCAGAACCCCATCAAAACCAGTGTCAACATGTGGACTGGTAGGACTAGTGACATCTCTGCCAGAAGTTCTGGGTGCTGGGAACTGGACAGCGGGTAACGTCAAGGGCAGAAGTCATAGCAAGGCAAACCCAAACCACATGTAAGCCAGCACAGGGTAGTGAGTCTACAGGGGGGACTGGACAGGAGGGGCAGGAGATGAACTGAGAAGTCATCAGCCTCATAACCAATTTAGGAAGTGGTTGACCTGTCTAATTCCATGAGACCCAGTGACTGTTAGAGACAATTATCTTTAGGGATAACTTTCCTGTTCCATCTAATTGAGCCTATTTAACTACTGTGTATTTAAAACACAAGCGCTTCCTAACTAAAATATTCAAACAAGCTCATTAGCAAACATTTCTTTTGTACAATTCTTATGAAATAACAAGAGTAATTATTTAGAAAATTCATATAAAATAAAATCAATTATCAAAATTATTATGCTTTGTTCTTTCTGTTGAACAAGAATTTAAATTTACTCTAATGTGGTTCTGTTACAATGCAAAGCCATCATATCCTACTAATGATGTAAAATCTATCATTTTTATAAATATTATCTTCCTGCCAAATGAAAATGGAACATAAAAACAGCAGATTAGAGTTGAAATGTGAATCAAGGCAGAAACATTGAAGAAAGGCTTGTGTACTATCAAAATGTAAGCTTAGCTTCATAGCATGAATGACCTTAATCAAATAAAAAATATGCTCCTGACAAATAAGAAATAAACACAAACGCTTTACTTAGCATGTACACATGGGCTGGTCAGATGGCTCAGTGGAGAAAGGTGTTTTCTGTCAGGACTGATGGCCTGAGTTGGATCCCCAGAATATACACGACAGAACAGAACTAATCTTGGCAACTTGTCCTCTCTCTAGTGTCTGTGCCTCTGTCTCTCTCTCACACCCACACAACTGGACTGTAGACTACAGAATAAACTCACCTGTTCTGTAAGTAGTATTGAGGTATTGCTGTACTTTTTACTTGTTTCTGATCCAAGCGTCACAAACCTCAGGAGAAACAGTGTCAGAGAGATGCACCAGATCACCAGCTCCCAGTTGTAGTGACAGTCGAGGAAGACCTCATGCACATGGAGCAGCTGGAGTGCATGCGGAGAAGGTGTGAAGCAGCAGTGTGAGCACTTCACTTCAAAACATCACTTTATATGGATTGCTCGTAAATGCAGCAGTATGTTTTTAGAGCATACTTATCATGAAGTAATTATGCACATCAGAAGTACAGAGAATCACATAAACAGTAGCTATGGGCTCTACCAACTTATTTTACAGTATTTACTTCAGGTTAAAAAAATATTTCAAATCCAGTTAAAACCTTTATATTTTCTTTGTCCCTGATTTCTGAAACAACACTCGACTCTATCCCAAGATAAATTTTGTGTTTATCTTTTCCATGTGGGCTTTTAATAATTTGGGAAAAGTCTATTCATTCTGTGGTTATACTTCTCCTTTCCTAGTACTGGGGACACACCCAGGGCTTTGTGCAGGCTAGGCAAGTGTTCCACCACTCTATCATGGTGCCACATCATTAACCTTCAACACTCATTTTTAAACAATGTTATTTTAACTCTATCTTGACTTTTAGTTCAATATTATCCCATTATCCAATATCCCATCTAATTCACTTTCTTTCTCATGTCTACTTATGACATTCACACTTACTACTTATTCATTCACACTGCAGAGGAGAAAAGGAGACATATGCACATGCCAGAGCGCATGCATGTATGATGGTCAGGACAACCCTCAGGAATCAGTTCTCTCCATCAGCCATGTTGGTTCTGGGGCCTGAACTCAGATCATCAGGCTCAGAATCAAGCACCTTTGCCCACTGGGCCATCTTTGCAGCCTGTTTGTTTTTTATTCCACTGAACCTTGTTTCTAAGATTTACCCATGTTCAAACATTCAGCTTTAATTTAGTTCATTTTAACTCCTATATGACAGTAAAAGAACCAACCATAATTATTTTGGTCTGCTCCAACAATTAACATTTATGTTGTTGATTTCTTTATCACCAACAATGCAGCACAGTCTTGTGTTTCCTTGTCTCAGTATGTAAGGCTTCCATTAGGCATTAATATGTAGGGCTAAAACTACTAGTTCATGGATAGTCACATCTTCAACTTTATGAGATGGTACGTATTTATTTATCTCTAAACAGTGTTACCACTGTATACTCAGCCATGTTTCAGATTCTGTCTACCCTTATTTTTGTTTATACTCACCCAACTTCTTAACATATGCCACCCTCGTGGGTGTAAAATGAACTCACATGACTTTAATCTTAACTTTCCCTGATACTTGGGGAAGAGGAGAATGCTCCACACTCTTACTGGCTACTGGGTTTTCTCTCTGTGAGTTACCTTTTCCTAGCTCGTAACTTTTCCCCTTAGGATGACTCTCCATTGACTTGCAAAGATAGACTTGTAACACTGCAGTTGCATTTCCCAGGTCCCATTTTGTTTCTTTGTAGCCCACACATTTATTTGTGATTGAACTTAAAACTTTTGTTGTTTATGTTTAAATCTCTATTCCACCCAGAATGTATTTTCCGGTATGAAGTACTTTTCATTTACTCTCGATTCCTTTCACTTCCCCATCATGTAAGCCTTCTTGGGGTGATTTATGTATCGTGTAACTTGCATGAATTTGCAGAACTTGTCTCATCCATTGGACATTCCACTTCTCTGTCCACAGCACAGTCTTCCTGTACCTCAGAAGTAACTCCGTATCTCTAGTCAGGCAACTTGTCCCTCAAAGCTCTGGACTGTTGCTTCCTGATGAATTTTAGGAAGCTTACCAAAATCAAAAAACAAAAACCCAGCATTCTGTTTAACTGCATGTGACTGTGACCCCAACCATTCTCCGAGGACTAAAGAGGGTATACTCACAGACAGAGAGGACTAAAGACATGTATACATATATACATGTCTGAAGTGTCATGGTCAAACTCATTGTGTACAATTAATAAATAATTCTCTGCTGAAGATTATTAATTGTTTTCTTCATTTATTGAGATAACTGCATGCTTTCCTTCAGCAAACCATAGGTATGAAATTACATGAATGGACTTTCTGCATTATAGGGATAAACCACCTTGGTCGTGGCTTACAGATGTAATATTTCAGGCTCTTCCTCTGTAACATTTTGTTGAAGGACTGAGTATCTAAGAAAGTAAGTTCATTCCAAGTTTCCCCTTTTCGTGCTCTCATGTGGTTCAAAGCCTGCACTGTATATGTGCTTGTGTGTATGCGTGTATAAATCTGAAAAACAGAAAGGAGACCAAGAGAGAATATGGCAAAAGGAAGAATGAGAAGGTGGTATACAAAGGACACACAAGACACGACAGAGATTGGGCTGTGCAGGAGGGGTGACAAGGGGCGTTCACAGCTGCAGGCAGTCGGGGAGACACGGGAAGAAGCATCCATGAAAACACACTTCGTTCAAAAACAAGACAATGATATCTAATACCCTGTATGTTAATTGAAAAATATTAAAATTGTGTTTAGAAACTGAGTCTTTTCTAGAGATGGTTGTAACAAGTAACTCACCTGAGCACAACAGATAAATACAACTGAGATTGTCAGTAAGAAAGCAGATGAAACAATGACATCAACTGATCTCTGAGGACCTCGACGCTAGGGAGACAAAGGGAAAACACTTAAACATATTTACTGAGCAGCAGATCATTTCCATGCTTTCAGTTAAGGTGTTACAGGTTGGTCATAACTTACAATGCTGAAAGTATTCACTCGCCAGAGGCACTGCAAAGTGTTAATATGTCCTTATAATTGTATAATACTGCAAATGTGGTATCTGCACAGCTAGATTCATTAGTGGAATTCTTTTTGTTCAACACTATAATCGTTTATTCAACAACTAAGCACTGTGCTCGGCGCTCAGAACACAGCAGGAGCACAGCTCACAAAGCCTCCTCTTCACAGGGCCAACAGCAGAGCGAGACACTGAATTCCTACTCAGATACGTGTCATACGCTGCGCTGGGCTGTGAAGGAAACGTATACCCGGGTGCTCTGAGGTCAATGACAGGGAGATTAATTCAGATTTGTGGGTCAGGAGTGAGTGCCTGGGAAGAGTTCCAAGAAAGTGGCATTTACATCACAGAACAAGATGGCATATAGCACTGTCCTAGGCAGAAAAGAAAAAAAAAAAAGCACAAAGCATGGAGGGTCGAGTACAGTTATAGAACTAACACAGTTAGTTTCCAGTAAGGACAGCAAGGCCTAGATCATGAACAACAGTCAAAACATATCAAAGTTTTTTCTTTATCCAAGGGTAATAGGGAACCTCCAGAAAGGTGTAAGATGGATATGATCAAATCTGCTTTTAAAAGATCTCGTGGCAGGCTGGAGACAGTAGTGGAGGAAGGAATGTTAACACTGGAGAACCAGTTGTGAAACAGCTTTAATAGGCCAGTGTAGATGACTAACGATTTCAGTTACGGTGGACATGGAAATAAAGAGATGTGAACAGATTTAAGATGTATTCTGGGA